TTTTTTAACTATAATTTTATTATTCATTACGTTTATTTTTTTACACACCTTTCCTTTTTCTTGTTTTAATAAAAGGAGTAACTTCAAAGCTATCATTCGAATATTCTTTTGCAATGAAACCGAAACATCAACAATATCTACAAACTGAGTGTTCCACAATAAGATTTTCATTAAAAACGGTCTCAAGCTCAATAAAAATTGTTGAACATAATTGTTATACGGCCATAAAATAACAAAAATAAATAACTTAAGGACGAGCACACCTAAAAGTTAAACATTCTAATAATAGAAATATTAAACAAAACCAACAAAACCAACAACCACCTTATCAAGTTTAAATAGCAAAGGAACAGCTGCGCTTGATTGTAGTTGGCTTAACAAATGAAATAGTGGAAAAAAGCAACAAGAATTCACAAGGCGAACTTAGCACAGTGCGTAGGCAACCGCCTGATTCAGTGAGATCGCCGGTTGGAATCCTGCTGAAAGAAGTCTGATGAGGAAATGTGGTGATTTCCAAAATAGCTATCACTTCTACTATATTTTTAAATTATTGTTGCTTTTCCACAATACGCTTTTCATTAAAAACGGCCTCAAGCTCAATAAAAATTATTCAATATAATTGTTATAAGGCCATAAAATAACAAAAAGTAATAATTAATGTTTAAAATTTGAGATTTGGATAAGAAGACAATAAATAAATAATCAAACCAGTTGTTAAATATTCTTTATTTTTGTCTATAGTTTGGCTTGATGATTAATAATAGAAATCAATTAAATAAATAAAATCGTGTAATTAAAACAAGCCAAAAATAATGGAAAATGATCAAAAATAACAAAATAATGATGTAATTAAATTTAATTAATTAATTAACATTTTTTTAAGTACTGAATTATTGATCATTAAAAAGGTGGTAATATCGGTATTTAATCATTAAACGGTTATCCAAATAACATGCTTTAATGAATAATCATTATGAATATTAATCATTATTTAACAGTGTAATTGAATAAGTATGCTTTGTTGATTTACAATATACCCAAATAAAAGTTATAATAGTTTGTGTACTTTATTCTATTAAACTGTTGAAGTCAAATAAAACAGGGCATGAATAAATCGTTTTCTACTTGGCAAATTAATTTTAGAATCATTAGTACTTAAACAGCATCATATTAAATTTTGAGCTTTACTAAAATGATTTGAAAAATAAATTTTTTGTATAAAAAATGACACATGGCACAATGTTAGCAATAACGGACATGTCTGGCAATAATAAATCTATGTTTCTAAAAGTTAGTTAAAGCCAATAAAAAGGAAATAAGCCTTACTAAAATGATTAAAAAAGTAGCATTTTAACTGTAAAGATACGATGCGCAGTAGTCAACGCAACCATTACCGCCTGCCAGATGGCCGACGCTAACCGGGGGAGTGAGAGAGATGTCATATCAAAAAACTAGCTATCCTGAAATTCTTCTTTTCACGACGTTGCTAGCTCCCGTACTAGAAGCAAAGCAAAGCGAATTTCGATTTAGTCTAGGGATGTCGATTTGAGTGCAAACATCGATGTTTTTGTAAAAACAATGCATCGAAGAGTCGCATCGATGTCTCTCGGTGCATCGGAACAAACACATCGAGTAGTTCCTCATCAGCAATGTTCCTAACAGAAACCCAAATTCCGAGTCATATCGAACAGGTAGTAGTTAGTGCGGAGAAAAAACAATAAGCTGCGTGCATTTTGTTTTTGCTTTTAGGCTATTAACTGTGAAAATAGCTCCTCTGTTGCTACTACCTGTCCGATGGTTCTTGCCAAATGCACACAATAAGAGGACTATATAATATACATATATTTCATACCGAATTTATTGGTGAAAGAAGTTGGGAGTTGGAGATTATAAAATTGATCAATTTCTCACAAGCTTTTCATTAATCACTTAAAATTAAATTAGTGCTGTTTTCTCAAGTAGTTTTTAAAATTTATCTGCCCTTCAAACACACTCTTCCAGAACAAAACTTGTGTTTAAAAGGCAGATACATTTTAAAAGCTACTTGAAAACACGGCCCTTAGATAGTTTTTTAATAGCTTTTCTTAAACACAGTTTTCAACATTTTATATTTTCAGTCAATTTTCCAATATTGTTTGTTCAAGCTTTGCAAGAACAACAATTTGTTTAAACGCTTTCCCTTTAGTCTATTCCGCTGCTGATTTAAAACTTAAGCCGCCTTAGAAAATCGACTTTCAGAGGGCACCGAACTGCCAACAATTATAAGCCACTTTGTACAATATACGAAATTGAAGCTTGATATCTTTCCAAATATCGAGCGGGTTATCGTTCAGTCGACAAACTGGGCTTCTTAAGTAGACTGAAAGTTGACAGATTTTCGTCCATTTTGTTTGACTTCCAGTTGTTGTGCACGAGCCTTTGGTGGTCGCTCCAAAGAGAAAAACTGTTTCCGCTTCTGTCAGAGTTACTAGAATCTGAGTCTGTTACATCTTCATCTTGTGCTAGATCTTTCACCCAGTGTTGCCAGGTCTTCGGCATGAGAAAACGTCCCTCTTGGTCTGAAAAAACGTCATTTTCTATTCTTATTAAACTTTCATTGTATACAAAGGTACATATGTACGTAAAGTATATTAAAATGTTATTTGCTCACATTTAAAATTCATTCTAAACTGGGTTGAGATCGTTAATATAAAAATCATTTTATACATACACTTGTGATCAGCTGATGAAGTCATCGATTTCGGCTGTTTCTTTTTTGTTTATTTAATGTTTATTATTTTTCCATAAAAGCCTAGCCCATTATATAACAAACAAAATATAAATCCATATTTCAAATTTTGTGCAAAAATTATAAAAAATTGGCAAAATATCAGCTAGATTTTCAACTTTTTATTCAGTTTTTTTTGAATTTTTTTGAGTATGCAGGTTGATAGCCCACTAAATTCCAGGGCAATAATGTGCAAGTTTTAAGGTGCTAAAGAATCGCGTTGATTTTTAATATATTTTTTTTTCTTCTTGTAAATATTTGGTTAAGTGGTCTGTTGTCCAAAATGCTAAATTCCGTTCTGTTAAGAAGGAACATAGCAATATTTCAACCTTTTTACGTTCATGACATTTTAATTTTTTTTTGCAAAGTTTGCAGTTCGCATTGCCTTCACTCGCTTCCTCAAAGAAACGCAAACTATACTTTTTGGAGGCATTGTGTTAAAATATCCTTCTGTCAAATCAATAGATTCCATTATTTAATTGTTTCACAATAAACATGTAAAATTATAAGAATAGAGCACTTACCTGAGAACTTCACAAAATTAAATGGACGGTATTTAAATAGAGACGTGGCTTTTTAAAAATACATCGACACTTTTACATCGATGTTTCGATACTATCGGCCATGCCTACATCGAGTAAAAATGTTCGATGTATCGAAAAAAAACATAGATGTCTTCGGTGCATCGATGTTTTTTCGACATCCCTAATTCAGTCTGCTTGCAGATTTCACCACGGTAAGGTCACGCTCGGCTGTTGACTGTTTTTCCTCGTAATTTTAGCTCAGGCTTGCCACATTTTGTGTAGGAAATTTACAAAAAATGCCCAAAGCAAAAAGTGGTGTGTTGTTCTTAGATTTTTCTTTGCGTGCGTTTGCTACGATACAAACACACAAGTAATTTTTAGCAAAAAAAAAACCGATTTCAACTCTCATATAAAAAATATATATATATATATATATCTCATGATCCACTGATCGGATCTTAACCAGATTAGTATGGGACCACCTCTGAGACACTATCGGTTGACGTGGTCCAAAGTTATGCGGTAACATACATAAAAAAAAAAAAAAAAAAAAAAAAA